AAATTGCCATGTAAAAATGATCCGGTCTCTTGAGATTCTTATTTCTGTGTCTTATATAGCTGGGGTTTTGATGTGGCTTCCCCCAAAGCAGTCCATTTTAAGTCCCCCGCTTGGTGATGGAGAGGGTAGGGTGGCTGTGTCCAGTGTTAATTTCTCCTCCTAGATATTAGCCTCAGGCAACAGGAGGTACAAAGTCCCCTGAAGTTTCATTCAGGGGCCAGGTCTGCAGAGGGTTCATCTCCAAGTCATTCTTTGGGGAGGAGAATCAGAGCCCCTGGCTCCGGTGAACAGGCTGTTCTCTGGCTTCAGTTCCTTTGGGGCCTGACCCACGGGCAGTAATTCTCGCAGCACTGTCGGCTGCATGGGAGGGTCTCTGTTGGCCAGTTGCTGCCACTGCTGGTACTTTTAGCTGTAAATTGTAACAGCACAGAAAGCAGAGCACTGGCTAAATGTAAAAGTGGGATTTGATGAAAGGATTAACCAGTTATTAATGTTTTCAATGTTTCTCTGTATATGTGAATAAAATTATAAGTACTTGTGATAGGCAGTTGAACTACAATGTTTTTTTCAACTTATTAAATGCAAGAGATTTATATGAAGTTACCACATCTATGTATGTATGTCCGTGCATGTAAAAATAAGTAAATAAACAAAGAAAATTCGAACAAAAGATTTGTAGTGTATATATTTGTTAGTATCTGTTTTATTCTTTTTTATTTTTTAATGTTTATTTTTGTTTATGTGAAAGGCAGAGCTGGGTGAGTGAAGCCAGGAGCCTGGAACTCTGTCCAGGCCTCCCCTGTGGGTGGCGGGGGTCCAAGTTCTTAGGGCATCTGCTGCTTCCCTGATGTGTTAGCAGGGGGCTGGAGCACAGGTGCAGGAGCACAACTTAGAGTCTGACGTGGGATGCGCGCTTGCCAAGTCTGCGTAACCTGCTGTGCCAGGAAGCCTGCCCCGTGTCTTGTTTTCTTCAAAAGTGCTCACTACAAAGTGCTGGATGCAGTTTTGTTTGTTGTTTTGGAGAAACACTGGTGTCCTGGGCCGGAGATGGGATTCCCTGTTTCCCTTATTTGACACTGGAATACATTCACTTTGTTGCACTTTGTGCAATAACCAACCTATTGGAGTTTAAATGTTTGCTGATTCGTTGTCTTTTCTCTGGGGATAGTATTGGGCTCCTCTGTTTGCCTTTTAGGTTTATGGCTAGGAGGCAACCACTGAAACCTTGCTTAAATATCTGGCTGTTTGTATGATAAATTTGGCAAATGGTGTAGCCAAGCTGTGAACAGCACTTATTTTTATTTTCAGCTGCACTTCTGTCCAAAGATCTTGTGCATTGGAGCGGAGACTATAAATGCAGTGAGTAAAAAGGTATAGCAAAGTTTACCCATGTTTTCTTATTTTTTGGGGGGGGGGTTCTTAACAAGAAATGTTTTGAAACCTGGAAAATTGTGTTTAAAATGGTTATTAACAGTTTTAAAAACTTTGACTCACTGGCAGATTGCTACCTAAGCTGTTCTGTTCTGTAATTCCTCCCTTTGCCCATGCCCTTTGTATATTACAAAATGCCAGTAAGAATATGTGTTTCCATGAGAAGACCACTGTGTCCCAGCTTAGTGTTGCTGTATGTTGCCAAGCAGTGCTTCCTAAGATAGGGGTACACAGAGCTTTCTCTGCTTCTGGGCAGCTTGTGCAGACCACGCCTTTCCGTGCTGGAAGTCGTGGAGCCCTTCTTCTTGTTTGTGCTTTGGAGAATAGGGATACGGCATTTCCTGGCTGCTACCAGGGGTCTGGTCAGGAGAGAATTCTGAACTGTTTTAGGTTGGAAGCAAATTGGAACCAGACCTTGCACTTCCTCTTCTTTGTCAACTCAAATACCTCTTCCCCCAAGGACCTTCCTGACTGCACGTGGCCCCCTGCTGCTTTCTTCCGGGCAGTTTATCAGAACCTGAATTTGTCTTGGCTTGCTTGTTTGTTCTCCTGATCATGCTACAGCACAGTTTCTGGAAGAACAAGAATCTGTCTTGCTTCAACTTTCACATGTCTATTTCCTGCACATAGTAGGTGCTTTCATAAATACCATAGATGAGTGAAAGGACGAGCCTAGCGTCCTTGTGACTAGAATCCCAACTGTGCGGTCGTGTTTGAGCCTTTGCTTCCAGAAGTGCTGATCAGCCTGTGCTGGAAGCCTCTCTTGGCAGGGGACCTTGGATGTATCTTTGTTTGGCTTCATTTCTTTTTCTGTTCTAGTTTTTAGCCTGTGTAACAAGATATGACACTTCTGTTGCAACTGTGTAATATTTTGCTTTATGTGATAAAGCATATCTGAAACATTAATAGACCACCTGCATATTTTGGTAAATAACCAACTTTTTAGGATCACTTCCCTAGGCTACCATGGCTGTTTTCTGTTTTATGTATATTTAAAAATTTCATTCTTTAAAACAACGTTTTCATTTTATTTGAAACACAGAAATAAAGAAAGGTGCAGAGAGGCAACATGGAAAAACCTTCCATGTGCTGGTTCACTTCCCAAATGTCTGTGGTGACTGGGGCTGTTGTTCCAGGGGCTTCTTCTGGGTCTCCCCTGTGGGTGCAGGGTCCCAAGGCTTTGGGCCGTCCTCCACTGCTTTCCCAGGCCACAAGCAGGGAGCTGGATGGAAAGTGGACAATTGGGACTGGAACCAGCACCTATAGGGTGTGAGCGTCCCATGGCTTTATCAGTTGTTCCACAGCACTGACCCTCTTTCCCCACTCCCCCTTTTTTTTTAAAGGTTTATTTTGTTTTTGTTGCAAAGTCAGATTATAGAGAGGAGGCAAGAGAGAGAAGATCTTCCATCCACTGATTCACTCCCCAGGTGATTGCAATGGCTGGTGCTGAGCTGATCCAAAACCAGGAGACTGGAACTTCTTCCAAGTCTCCCATGTGGGTGCAGGGTCCCAAGGCTTTGGGTCTATCCTTGACTGCTTTCCCAGGCCACAGGCAGGGAGCTGGATGGGAAGTGGGGCTGCTGGGATAAGAACCAGCACCCATATGGGATCCTGGTGTGTGCAAAGTGAGGATTTCAGCTGCTAGGCTACTGTGCCGGGAGAAAAGAACCAAATGTTGTAGTTCATACTGTATTTACTAATACAGTCTAGTGGAGATAAGGGAACTAGTGTTTTATTTAGAAGAAAATTCATCAGGGCTTGTGTCATGGAGCTATGCAGTTGTTGCTACTAATTGGTTGTCCTCTTTAAGCCATACCTATCTCTCAGCTTTAGTTTCTTCCTCTAAAATGTGAGGGAATTGGATTGAATTTCTTCCTGGGTCGTTGTAGTCCAGGAATAGATAATTGAAGATACTTTAATTTTACCACCATATTTGCATACTCCAACTTCTGTTGGCACAAAATATTATAAGGAGATCCCTTGTCCCTTGAGAGAAGGTGGGATTAGGCTCACTTTAAAGTAGAGACATTTCATGGTGACTGCTGAGTGTCCCAGGCTCCGGGGCATCGTGTGTTTGCTCTGAAGCCACCCGGGATAAGGCTCAGCCACGTGGTTGTCTGAAGTCATCTGGTATGAAGTGTGGTGCTGCGGGAGTTGAAAGGGATCAGAGAGGCTTACAGGAGGAAGTGGGGGTTTGCAGTCCTTCCAGCTGAGCTGACAAGTGAGCGCATTTTCACCTAGTCCCCTTTGAGGCCATTTGGACAGTGAACTGCGTGAACAGTGTGTTAATGTGTTTTCTTTCAGGGCTGGGTAACTCCTCAGTGACTTAATACCCAGGGAATATTTCATGCTTTCTACAAATTCAGAGTAGATATTTGTTCAATTTAGTGTGCTCTTGGAGAGCCGTTAACTGACGGAATGAGACGCATTCAGGAAGCGTGCTGGGTAAATGAAAATACAGAAATGCGAAGTTTGATTGCTACCATAGTGCGAGGCACAAAGAGACTGGATTGATTAGGGGAGGTGTTTTTGGTAACTAATGGAAATGGATTTGGTCTTTGGGGACTGGATTACGGAGGCCCTTTGAGATCTGATCAAAAGAGTTTCGTGTAATTGCGGTGGGGAGGGGGTGGAATCCCAGACCTGATGGAATTGCACCATAAAATTCAAAATTAAAAAAGTTTCTTGTGAGTCTATTAAAACATCTTATATTGGGAAAAAACTCACATTAGAGCTAATGTTATGGCATAGTGGGGTGAGCTGCCACCTGCAGTGCCCACATAAACCTTTAAAATAACAAAACAAAATCTCACATTAACTAGTTACTTGGATTATCAGAAATTAGTATTGTTGCCTAAGTGCCTGACATTTGTATTAAATATTAATATTAAGTAGCATGAGATGTCATTTAATCTTCACTGGTATTAGGCAGGTATGATGGTCTGCATGAAGTGCTTGTGGGGGCATCAGGGCTTAGGGCGATAGGATCACTTGCTCAGGGTTTTAAAGCTAGCATATGTGATTTCATTGGGAATGGTAGATTTTACCTCGAGGCTGCTGGAGTGATCAAAGTGGCACTGCTGCTCTTTGAAGATTGACATTTGGGCAAAATACGCAAGGATGAGAAGGAGGAAGGCTCCGGAAGAGCCATGTATCTAGGGCAGTAGAAGTTGATTTGTAGCCGTAAGTTCAGAAAAAATTCATGTTTTGCCTAGAATGACAGTGAAAAGAGCAAGGGAGAAGAGGTGTGAGATTAGGACATAGGGTAGAAGATGTGGGGCCTTGTGAAAAACAGTTTGAATGCTATTTTAAAGCAATGGATGATTGTTGAGGGGCTTCAAAGCAGAGGAATGAAGAGTATGTGTGTGAGTCTGTTTGTGTGTGTAATAAAAACATAAAATTTAACCATTAACTTGTCATTTTTTTCAAGATTGATTTATGTATCTGAAAGGCGGAATTGCAGAGTGAGAAAGAGGAAGAGACGGAGAGCAGTCTTCCATCCACCGGGTCACTCCACAGATGGCTGCAATTGTGCATGGTGGGCCTAGGTGAAGCCAGGAGCCTGGAGCCCAAGAACCTGGGCCACCTTCTGCTGCCTTCCCAGGTATGTTGGTAAGGAGCTGGAGCAGCCTGACTATCAGTTAGGGCCGCAGGGAATGCTGGAGTGGCAGGTGGAGGCTTAACCTCTTGTACCACAGCACCAGCTCCTGAGCCATCTTCTTGTTCTTGTTTTTATTTTTCACTTGGAAGGCAGAATTAGAGAGGCAGGGAGAGGGAAAGAGAGATCTTCCATTTGCTGGTTCACTCCCCAATAGGCCACAATGACCAGACCTGGGCTGAACTGGAGACAGGAGTTTCTTCTGGGTCTCTCATGTGGGTGTGGAGTCCAAAGCCTTGAGCTATCCTCTGCTGCTTTTCTAGTCCCCAGGCAGGAAGCTGGATCAGAAGTGAAGTAGCTGGGAGTTGACCGGTGCCTATATGGGATGCCAGTGCTGGCAACAGGATTTGCATGCTACGTTGCCTGACTGTCCTGGGCAAGCCCAGAGCAGTCCGAGATCCATCCCTTGCATGGTCGCTATGGATAGAGCAAATTCTTGGACCTCAGGTTTGGACTAGCCCAGGACCCTCCCTGCTCCTAGCAGCTGTAAATGGGTCCCCAGTAGGAAGCCTGGGCCGGCATGGGTACCCCCAGCTGTAGCCATGTGTCTGGGGAATCCAGACACCCATGCTCTGCTCAGACTTACCTAGAATCCACCTACTATCATTACTTTACAACTGTAAAGCTAGTAGCAGCCCTTCCTGTAGTTGGGGTGGCTGCTTCATGAGGCAGCTTGAGATCTGGGCAGTGCTTTTCCAGCTCTGCTGTACCCTGGAGCACCCTGTGCTCTTTATGAAATGTGAGTGCTGCCTCTCCTCTCCTGGGGTTCTGTTGTAGTTGTCATAAGGCCTAGTACTGGATTTTTTTTTTTTTACCCTCTAGGTTTTTGTTTGTTTGTTTTTAAGATTCATTTGTTTTTATTGGAAAGTCAGATTTACAGAGAGAAGGAGAGACCAAGAGAAAGAACTTACATCTGCTGATTCACTCCCCAAGTGGTTACAATGGTTGGAGCTGAGCTGATCTGAAGCCAAGAGCTTCTTCCCTGTCTCCCACGTGGGTGCAGGGTCCTAAGGTCTTCAGCCATCCTTGACTGCTTTCCCAGGCCACAGGCAGGGAGCTGGATAGGCAGTGGAGCAGCCAGGATTAGAACCGGCACCCACATGGGATCCCGGTGCATGCGAGGTGAGGACTTTAGCCTCTACGTTATTGTGTTGTGCGGTTTTAATATAAAACCTTATGTTTCCTGAGAAGAGACTGGAGACAGAGCTGTATCCAAGGCTTGGAATTGATTGTGGAAATGAGCGGTTAGCACACTTTTCAGGCTTCCTTCGGTTATGCCAGGGAATTCTCATGGGCTTTGGGATTGTGTAGCCCTATGTTGGGCGTTGGCTCACTTTGGACCACTGTTTAACTTGGAAAGTGCCAGCCTGTACAGTGTCCCATCCCCATTCTATCTACCCTTGGTTTCCTTTTGGGATTCCCTGCTGTTTAGTGGGATTAAGTCTCACTTCTTTGCTGTTGTTAAAGACAAACCTTTCTCATATGAATGGTTTTACTTCCTGTCACTGCAGGAACACATCTAGCAAACCCCAACAATGCAGAAGGCATTTTCACTGCTTACTGGAGTGTTGCCCGTGGAAGTACCCTACTTCTTGGTGAGATGGGCACTTGCTCTGCATCTACTTGTGGAACACTGCAGTTTTGCTCAGATATAGTGCACGGAGCAAAGGCTGGGCAGGTCTTTCACTCAAGAAGTGAGTGATTCTGTCGAATCTGGTGGTACAAGCAGATCTTAACCATCTGTATGGAGCAATGAGGGGCTCTTTTAAAAAGACTGTGGCTTAGGTCTTTGGACGAATCATGCTGAGAAACGCTAGTTTTCAACCAGCTGTCCCCATTTCCTGGAATGGATGAGAAAGAAGAAAAAGATCTTGGTTCACTCCCCAAGTGGTGATCCGAAGCCAGGAGCCAGGAGCTTCTTCTAGGTCTCCCACGTAGGTGCAGGGTCCCAAGGCTTTGGGCTGTCCTCAACTGCCCTCCCAGGCTACGAGCAGGGAGCTGGATGGAAAGTGAAGCACAAACCGATGCCCATAGTGGATCCTGACACTTACAAGATGAGGATTTAGCCACTGAGCCATCATGCCAGGCCTTCAGCCTGCCGTTTTTAAGCTTGTCCCTGATTGGAAGGACAGTGTAGGTGAAGCTGCCTGTGTTTGCCCCTCCCATTCGCTGCCCCACTAGACCCACCATTGGTGAATAACCATTTCTTTGCCGAATGCCCTTAGTCTTTTGCTGCTTTTGAGAAGTTTTGCTCTCCTAGGACTGAGCTTAAGGAATTCTTGTGAAGGGAAGCACTGGCGCTTTGTGGAAATACAGATTCTGAACTTCGATCTTAAATTTAGTTCTTGCCAAAGGATAGGCCTCGTAAAGTCAGCTGCCTGGGTAACAGTCTCAATCAAGATAAACTGTCTTATTTTGATTATATCTAAAGAGAAGAATATTAATGGCAGTAATGTATCTTTTTTGTGAGGTTATTGCAAATTTTTTTTTTAAAGATTTATTTTTATTATTTTTTCATTGGAAAGGCAGATATACAGAGAGGAGAGACAGAGAGGAAGATCTTCCGTCCGATGATTCACTCCCCAAGTGAGCGCAACGGCCGATACTATGCCGATCCGAAGCCAGGAGCCTCTTCCGGGTCTCCCACACGGGTGCAGGGTCCCAAGGCTTTGGGCTGTCCTCGACTGCCTTCCCAGGCCACAAGCAGGGAGCTGGAAGGGAAGTGGGGCTGCCGGGATTAGAACCGGCGCCCATATGGGATCCCGGGCATGCAAGGCGAGGACCTTAACCACTTGCGCCACCGCGTCGGGCCCGGTTATTGCAAATTTTAAGTGAAATAATCTTGTGAAGCACTTGTCTTAGGTAAGTTAGCCACCTCGTAAGAACTCAGTAATACAGTGCTGGGAGGGAGAAAGAGCTTGGGTTCTGTTGGGTGGAAGTGACAGGTTGTGGTGTTCCACAGTACACAGATGACTTAGAGTTCACAAGAAGGTGTTAACTGCTGTGCAGGTCCTGGGGAGCGGGGCTGGCGGCCCCACACACAGAAGAGGTCATGAATGAGACAGGTTTGCCAGGGTTCACTGGTTTATGCTTCGTGTGTGTGCTGCAGGGGTGTCCCTCGCCCTGCAAAGAAGAAGAGACTCAGTTATTCTCTGCTGCAGTTTCCTTCACTGCCTTTGCTGTGGGCCAGGGGCAGTGGTTTTATTTCTTCCACTATCCAGTTGTGTAATGCTGGGTCAGTTTGTACATTTCCCTTTGTCTCAATTTTCTCACCTTTTAAGAGACAGCATATTATTAGTACTGATTGTCAGGGGAGAATGAGCCCATGTCCGCAGGGCGCTCACCACAGTACCTGCTGTGTAGGAAATGGCTGAGGTGAGAGCTGTTGGCTGCACTATTGCTAAAGTGCCTTCTTTACGTCCAGTTTCAAAACCTCAGAAATACACAAACATGCACAATGTTAAAAATATAAATATATACGGTATTAGAACTTTTTAGGTTGTCATTTAAGCTTCATCTGCCAGAATACTTTGGATTCTGTGATCTCCATACTCCAGTGATGTCATATTGCTGGCTTTGTTGTCATGCCAACCTTACAACCTACCCCTCTGTGACTGCTTCAGCTTAGTCACAGCTGATCTCCCTCTGGGTGCTGGGAGAGGTGGTGTCACACCTACGTCATGCTTGAGGAGGAGAGGTGGGGCCAATAATAAGGAAGAGTAATTTGAATATATGTTTTTTAAAACTTTGCAGGTTTGTGCTTGGAGATCTAGAATTTATACTCTCTGAACTCAAGCCGAGTATACTTCTCATAGTACAGATGTTATGGACTGGGCGTTCAGCGCAGCAGTTAGGATGCCAGCGTGCCGCAGCAGAGCACCTCTGGGGCTGTTCCCTGCTCTCACTCCTCGCTCTGGCTTCCTGCTGATACCAAGGCCAGAGGCAGCTGGTGTTCGGGTCGTTGGGTCCCTGCCTTCCGCATGGGAAACCTGGGCTATCTTCCTGTGGTTTCTGCCCTGGACCAGAGTGGCTGTTAGAGAGACTCTGGGAGGGAGGCTACAGAACCAGCACATAGGAGCTTGCTTTCAATCTCAGTCTCTAAAAGAAATAACTAAAATTGAAAAGAAAAAAGAAAATATATTAGGATATGCTTATCTGATTTTGCTAATAAAGCAAAATGTAGTAATCTAGTATTAATATTATGGATTTTTTTTCCTTAAAGAACTAAAAGGGTTTATTTTGTATATGGTAACTAAGGACAAACAAATTGGAAGGAAATTTGCTAATTAAAAAAATTCTTTTTTTGAAAATCTGATATACAGAGAGGAGGAGAGACAGAGAGGAAGATCTTCCATCCGCTAATTCATTTCCCAAGTGGCTGCAACTGAAGTTGATCCAAAGCTGGGAGCCAGGAGCAGGGTCCCAGGGTCTTAGGCCATCCTCTACTGCCTTTCCAGATCACAAGCAGTGAGCTGAATGGGAAGTGGGGCTGTCGGGACACGAATCAGCATCTGTGGGATCCTGGCACATGCAGGACAAGGATTTTTAGCCACTAGGCTACTGTGCCGGGCCCCAATTGCTAATTTTTAATGCAGTTATTTTTGTTTTAGTAAATAATATGCCCAACTAGTGGTTTGGGCATGCTTACAGCAAAGCTTGGGAGAACGGGTACATTTCAACAGGAGTGCTGGGTATTGTTCAAATCTCAGAGCCCTGTGTTGAGCGGAGGTCCTGGGAAGTAGTTGGGCAGCCAAGTGGGAGTTCTCTGGGAGGTAGAGTGCCCTCCTTCCGCATCTCTCAATGCACTAGCGAGTGGAGAAGACTTGACACGTGTTTTTATATGCTGATATTGTACATAAGACTTAGAATGCCTTCTTATTGTCTTGTTTTCAAAAAAGGTTTAAAGCCACCTGTACCGGAAAGCGAATTTCTGGTATAGAACTGTGGTGCAGCTAAGTGCCCAGCATAGATGTTGGTGTAGTGTGTGCTGAGTAAAAGTAATTAAGCATTTTGCAAAGTTTGTTACCTTTATGCTATGCTATTTTCATTTTCAGTCATATCCTTTGCCTCTCAAAGATTTCGTTTTGTTTGATGTAATCAAAGAACTTTATTAGGCGCTTTGGTGGCTCACATACATGTTCTTTCTCAGGCCTTTCTGGATTCCCTGTCACACCTTTCTCTTTTTAAAATAATTGAAGTATCATTTTTTTTAAAAGATTTATTTATTTTTATTACAAAGTCAGATATATGGAGAGCAGGAGAGACAGAAAGGAAGATCTTCCATCCGATGGTTCACTCCCGAAGTGAGCACAACGGCCAATGCTATGCCGATCCGAAGCCAGGAGCCAGGAACTTCTTCCGGGTCTCCCACACGGGTGCAGGGTCCCAAGGCTTTGGGCCGTCCTCGACTGCTTTCCCGGGCCACAGGCAGGGAGCTGGATGGGAAGCAGGACTGCCGGGATAGAACCAGCGCCCATATGGGATCCCGGGCATGCAAGGCGAGGACCTTAACCACTTGCGCCACCGTGCGGGGCCCGAAGTATCATTTTTTAATCTTCCCCTGAATTATACAGATATATACCTTTGTCACTTAAAGCCTGGAACTTTAAATTTTGGAATATAGAAAAATATTCTGAGCTATTTAATTCTTTGTCATGAAATGATGACTATTCATAAGTATGTGGCGTATTTTTTATAAAATAAAAACTTTGAAGTTATCTTGGATTGGATTTTCCCTAGCGTTACATCATCCCCAGGAGTGATATCTTCTTGTGACATTTTCACATGTTGACATTCTGTATTATTATAGGAGTTCTCTTTTGTTTGTTTGTTTTTTAAAATTTGTTGTGTCTGTTTGACAGAGAGGAGGAACAGGAGAGAGCATCTTTCATCTACTGCTTCTTTCTCCAAAACACCTGGGACAGCTGAGGCTGGTCCAGATCAGAGGAGTCACATGGGTGTCAGGGATCTAAGTGCGTGGGCCGGCCTGCACTGTCTCCCCAGGCTTCCCAGACGCAGCAGCAGGGAGCTGGGTGGGGAGCGGAGCAGCAGAGGCGCTCAGCACTGGCCTTACATGGGATGCTGTTGCCATCAGTGCTGGTTTAATCTGCTACAGCAAATACTGGCCCCTAGAGTAACTATCCCTAAGTAGTCAGGCATTTTAATTTTAAATCTGTTTCATCTTTCCTTGAAGTTTAACTTTTGTTTTGGTACCCAGCATTTATTTTAAAATTTTTTTAATTTTTAAAGATTATTTAAAACCGAGAAAGACTAGCTGCTGGTGATACAAGTTGGTGTTGTGTGTTTGAACAGATCAGATGTACTGTGTCTTACAGATATGCCCATGAGAAGACATCATTTAAAGTTTTGACCATGGTGGAATTTGACTCAGATATTTTTCTTAATGATTCAGATATTTTTTAATGGACATTTATTTCTAGTTTAAATTTTGAAAATATAGATAAATGAAATTATGATAAAAGATCAGAAACTGATAAATAACTAAGTAAATCAGTCAAAGTCTTTCTAGTGGTGGAGAAATTGTCAGTGAAGATGATATAGTTCCAAATAAAAAATACAGAATTTTTTCTTTATTTATTTTCTCTTCTGTCTCTGAAATAGGTTGAGAGTTAATTACCTGTTTCTTCTCACTTTTGCAGAGTTAATAGAGGGGAGACAACCTTGCTGAAGATGAAGAATATACAATATTAGAGGAGAATTTTTTCTTTCTTTGTCTTGTCTTCCGTTCCCACCTTTCAATCGAGTTGGCTTCATCAGAAATGTTTTTTACAGTCTCAAGGAAAAACATGTCCCAGAAATTAAGTTTCCTCTTACTTGTATTTGGACTCATTTGGGGATTGATGTTACTGCACTATACTTTTCAACAGCCAAGACATCAAAGCAGTGTGAAGTTACGTGAACAAATACTAGACTTAAGCAGAAAATATGTGAAAGCTTTGGCAGAGGAAAATAAGAACATGGTGGATGTCGGGAATGGCGCTTCCATGGCGGGATATGGTAAGACGACTGTAGTGTGTTTCTAGTCCCCCCCTCTTGGCCTGTCCCATCGAAACCTGCTCTCGGGTATTAAATTCAGTCCTCTCTGCATACTAGCTTGACAAAGTAGTATTTTTGATTTCTTATTGTGAGACTTTGAAAATAACCTCAAAGGTAAAATAACATAATTAAACACTTCCACATTCGTCACCCTGACTTTATATTTATTGTAGAATTTGTTTTATGTGATCAAAGAATATTTAAGGTAAATTGTGGAAATTGTGACATTTTCTACTATAGAGCCCTTACACGTATTAAAAGCAAATCTTTTTGTATGCATGAGCTTTTTCTGGATAGCACAGTGGTCTGATTGTTGTACCTAGTTTCTGTTTGAATTCTCCTGAGTGGCCCAGAATGATCATCTTCGTGGGCATCTGGTCCTGAGAGGCAGGGTGTGCCTGCATCTCCAGTGCTCCCTTCCAAGTTCCCTCTGCTGCTCTGTTCTCCCTCTGAGGCTCCAAAGGAAAGCAAAAGAACGGATACATTTGGTTCTGTCTGGAACTGTGAGTGTACATGAATTACATGTACATTTTAAAGATGTTACTGTTTGTTCAATTAAAGGTTATACATGCAAGAGTTTAAAGAATCGAGATGTGTTGATTCTTGTCATAAAAAAGGGAAATTTTTCCACTCCCAGTAGTCTTCAGATTTCCTGCTTCTCACAGCTACCCGTTTTAGATTCTTTCATCTCATTTGCTTGATGACTGCATATCTAAATGGCATGCTCCCTGAGCTACTTCTTGATTTTACATTTGGAGACATCTGCTGATTCCCCACTGTGCAGTGAGGTTGGCTTCCTCTCCTGCCCAAAGATGCATTCTTCTCATCCCCAAGCTGCCTTGTCACACACAGGTTCTTGTCCTGCCGATTTTCCTTTCATAACTTGGACGCATTCAGCATTCCATGACTTCCTCTGGTGTGGACTATTTGCTTTTTAGGTTCAGCAGTGAATTGTTGTAGATCACCTTGTACTACATCTTGGAAATTCATTGTGCTTTCTTGTGTTAAGTCTTTAGTTTCCTCGAATTCTGGAGCTTCCTCTTTATTGGTTACCTCCTGAAGTTAGGGGAATGGATCTTCTGGTAGGCTCTTGAGAAAGATGCAGGTGAGACAAAAGCTTTAAGTCCCTGTGAATCTGAAAAGGTCTTTATGATTATTAAAAATTTACTCATTTACTTGAGAGTGAGAGAGAGAGATCTATCCACTGTTTCGTTCCCCAGATGGCCACAAACTGTGAGGGCTGGGCTAGGCCAAAGGCCAAAGCTTGGGATTCCATTTGGGTCTCATACACATTGGTCCGGTGAGGATGTTTCTGTGGATGTGTGCTTCATGTTTACCGTGACTTCTGATATCAACTACTGGGAGTTAGGCGAGACTAGACAAGTTAAGTGCACAGTCTGCTATAAGCCTGGCTTCATTCAGTTCAGGCAGCTGCCTCTATTTGGATATTCCACGCCACCTTCACTTCCAGCTAGCTGGCTACACATTTGGAGGTTCTGAATATCCCTCATGTTTAATAATTTCTTACAACAGATCACAGAATTCACTCAAAATATTGTATTTACCTTGTAGCATCAAGTTGCAAGTCAGAACCGGCCACAGGGAGAGCTTGTGGGGCTCCAAGGACACTCTCCAGTGTCTTCTCATGCAGTCAGAACTCCTAGCCTCCTGGCACGTTGAGGCAGAGGACTGTCGCCCAGAGAAGTACCCTAAAGTTTCAGTGGACAGAGTTTATTGCATTTCATATGTAAGCACGATTGATGGGATCATTGACCACGCTGCCTCTAGTCCCTCCCTTCTCTGGAGGTTAGCTGAAAATCGCCAAGCCTTTGATCACATTGGTGTTTCTGGAATGGCCAACCCCCATCTTTTTTTTTAATTTTAATTTTATTTTTAATATTGCTTACATAGTTGGATACACATCCATGTGGGCCTCCAATTAGGATGGAGAGGGTCGAGGTATGGAGGAAGGTAGGTAGGACAGTTATTTCAGGACTTTTTTTTTCTTTCCTTTTTTAAACTTATTATTATCACTGTCATTTTATGATACATTTCCATAGGTGCTCAGATTTTCCTTAGCTCCTCCCCAAGTTCTCTCCCACTCCCCCACTGAGTTCCCATATATATGTGTGTGTGTGTGTGTGTGTGTATGTGTGTATATATATATATGTATAGTTTTAAAGCAAGATATATTAGAAAAGCTGAGAAAAGGAGGTCCCGTCCTAGTGATGGGAAGGGGTTTTGAAATAGAAAGGACCCCTGCCTCCTGCATAGTAGCAGGAGGAGGAAAGAGGAAATACCCTAGACCCCTGCCATCTGGCAGGAGGAAAGGTGGAAAACAAAGACCCTCCCCCTATATTATTACTATAATATCATTCTTCATAAGCAGTCATATGTCCATCATTGCGGCCATGGACAATGGTAGAAAGTCCAGCATCCTATTGTCAAGATATAGTTAACGGTTCCGTTGGGAGTCCATCTTTGATCTGGAAGTAGAGATACATGCAGCGTTGCATCCTCACATCTGGATATGATAGTCTCCATTACACAGTTACTAAACATTCCCTTAAATGAAAAGCCACAAAACAAAACCAACAACAGGAAAAGAAGAAATTAAAAATGCCATGAAGTTAAATAACATGCTACTGAATGACTAATGTGTCGCTGAAGAAATGAAAAGGGAAATCAAGAACCTTCTTGAAGAAAATGATGTTGCTGTATGATCTATGAGTCAGTGAAGAATTTAATGAGAAAGAGTTTTGAAGAGATGAAACTAAATTAAAAAAGTCAAAATCCATGAGATACAGTTTCCACTGTTCTTTGTTGGTGAGATATGTCTTCTATAGGCAACAAATAGGTGGGTTTTGTTTTTTGAATTCAGTATACTAACCTAAAAAAGTTGATTGATGAGTTTAAGCCACTTACATTCAGGGTTAATATAAATGGGTGATAATTTGGTCGTATCATTTTAGCAATAGGTTGTTCATTGATTTGGTCTTCTTCTATTATTGTACTGGGATGTGCTTCACATTTGCCTTTGGTTTTAGTGGGTGCTATTCCTCTGTCAAGAGAACATGTGTAAGTATCATTTTTAGGGTAGGTTTGGAAGAGGCAAAGTCTTTTAACTTTTCTTTACTGTGGAAGAATTTTATTTCATTTTCAAAGACAAAGGAATGCATTGCTGGGTGTGTTATCCTGGGCTGATGATATTTTGCTTTTAGAATCTGGAATGTGTTACTCCATTCTCTTCTGGTCTGTAGAGTTTCCTGTGAGAGGTCTCCTGTGAATTTAATTGACATTCATTTATATGTCAATTGATTTTTTTTTTCATATGCACATTTAAGGATCTTTTCCTTATGTTCTATTGAAGAGAGCTTGATGATCATTTGTCATGGCGAAGATTGCTTTTGGTCAGGCCTGTTGGGAGTTCTGTGCCCCTCCTGGATGTTGTTTCCCAATTCTTTCTCTAGATTAGGGAAATTTTCCTTTAATATTTCATCGAATACATTTTTAAATGCAACTTCTCTTTCTGGACCTTCTGGGACTCCCATAACTCTTATATTTGGGCTTTTAATAGTGCCTTTCAATTCTTGAATGCCTTTTTTTAGCTTGATCCAGCTCTGCTTCCAGCTTTTTGTTTGTTTCCTGCTGGTGACAAGAAATATCTTCCAATTCTGAAATTCTTTATTCTGCTTCATTCATTTTATTTTGAAGACTCTCCATTGTACTTTAATTGGCTCCACTGTATTCTTCCTTTCTGATATATCAGCTTTCATTTGATTCATTTCCTGTGTGACATGTTCCTTAATTTTTCTTTTTTGTTTGTTTTCACACTAATATTTTTTTTTCCCCTGTATCTGGGGTCAGGGGAGAAAGAAAGGGAAAAGACCCACCCAGCCTCCTGCCCATCCCAGGTCCCTGATGTGAGGCATGCTCCGAGGGTCCTGCTCAAGCAGTTTTGATAGGTTCAGCAGGTCTGAATTGCTACCAGTCTTGCCGTTCCAATCGGGATGAAACCTGTTCAGAATCCACTGGCTGACATAGTTTCTTCATGGTTGGGGTTCTGAGATCAGCAGTTCAGTTGGAGGGATCTCGAAAGAAACTTCATCTGAGATGATCCCAAACCTGATTCTTGTGTGAATTTGCAATACAGGGTCTGGCACAGTCTGTCGCCCCAATCAGCTTATGCACATGCTGGTCATTGCAATTGCTGGGTCAGTTCTGTTTCCAGTGCTGTCATCCACTTGAACCAATGGGTGTTGGAGTCCAGCTTGATCTTACCCATTTCATGCTCGGTCCTCACGCAAACCAGTGGGAGCTGCAGCCTAGTTGGGGTGATTTCCTATAACCCTCACCAGGCCTGCTCCCTACTCTGGTTCCCATGCATGCCAGTACTGCAGACTTGTTCAGTCTGCCCCACATCCCATTTAGCCCTGGTACTTGTCAATAGGCATTGAAGCCTAGTTCAACCCAACCAACCTACTATCCAGCCCACACACATACTGGCAGGTGGCTTTCTGTCTAGCCACCCCTACCCCTGTCCTGGTTTTCGTGCTCTCCAGTGGGAGTGGTTACCCATGAGGGAGGTGCCCACTATCTCCCTTCTAGGCCACTCCAGCTTCTGGATTGTACAATCTCCAAGTGGTTCTGGCATTTAACTTAACAGAATTGCCCCCCATTGCCAGCCTCTGCCATTGCTTGGCCAGGAGAGGTATCCAGCCTGTTCTGCTTTCTGTCCTCTAACAAGGCACTCTGTCCTTTGCTGGCTGAGATTAGCTGGATGTCATGTCTGCTGTGTTCTTCTGGGCATGCTGTCTACTGCATAGGCATCAGCAACAGAAGGCCAGTCTTGATATATTCGCCCCAAGATTGGAGCATGCGTATCGTGATTTTCCCTGTGGCTGGAGTTTGATTCCAGTGATTCAGTTGAGGAGTTCCATAGGAAACCTGACTTAGGGTGA